GGGCGCTCTCGCGGGGCCCCCTGCGCCTCACGAGTCGGCGAGTGCTGCACGTATTATTTGGCGGTGATGGTGGTGGCCTGGCCCCTCCCCGAAGGGGCCAGAGGGGGAGGAGGAGCCCGGGAGCCCGCGCGCCCCACTCAGAAGGTCGGTCCGCCGCGCAGCGGGGAAGCGCTGCGGCCGATGAAGTGGGGGAAACACTGAGGGGAGCGTGGAGTAATGCGCCAAACCTTTGGGGCTAGTAGGAGAAGCAGGTCGAATGGATGGGCCTTGAGCGAGAACTTTCAATCCATAAGGATAACCTAGGAGGAGGTCGCTTAAGGCAGTCCATATAGACTGAGCTCCTGGATCACCGCCCACCGAACCACACCAGCCCAACCCGAAGGCCCCGCGTTGCCCCCCTTTCCAGGGGGGGGGGGCGTCGGGGAGCATTGAACAAAAACACACGTGGAACCCGTTCAGTCGGGCCGAGGTATAAGATCGAGGTCGCCTCGGGGAGGGTACCCTAGTATTCGTCGTGTTGGTTGGATGTTCTTGTGCATCCTCGGGAGGCGGCGCTGGCCACCCACACCAAGCGCGCCTCCTTTCCGGTTGACTAACCATGCTTGTTCTCAAGTACTTGCACCTCGGCATGCGTACATAGACTTACATGGCCTGAGTGTGGTTCCCTCGCCTCCCCGGCCTCCTCGGCTGTCCCGCGCCTCGCGCGTCCCCTCCCTCCCGTGTACCTCGCTGTGTTTGGGCGCGTTCCACTGCTGTTCGATATGCGTCTGGTCATCTTGTGGTTTCGGACCAAATGCTTCTCATGCATCGTTGCCGTTGGGGGCCTCCGTGCGCAGTGTTTTCTTTGGGCGGGCGCAGGCAAGCCGAAACCATGGCACATCAGGGTGGGTTTCTGGGAGGCACTTACCAGAGCTGCTACTCGACGCGCTCAGGAACTCGGGAAATCGTAACCCAAGCGTCCTCTGGACCATGGCCCAGGGTAGAACTTTTTCAGAAACAGCAGCCAGGGGGATGATTCTGATGGTAAACATTCATCGGTATGACTATCTGCCAGGGAAATGAGAAACACAACAAGGAGGCATACTAGTACGCGCGGCATCGTGCATGTTTTTTTCTGTAATTCGCGTGTCCTCGTAATGTGTGTTCCCGTGCGCTGCGGGCGATTTTTGGCGCCCGCGTGCAGCGGCGCCCTTTCGGGTCCTTGGAGTTACGCGGCACTGAAGACGGCGCACAAGCCGCGCAGCTGGCCGAGCAGTCCGCGGCGGAGTGGGCACTGAGCGCGGCGGCGGGCCTGGTGGAGGTCTTCACGGACTCGCGGTGCGTCGCCAACGGCATTGCGGCGAGCCGCGCGGGCGCAGACCCTCGCGAATGGGCGCACGATGACATCTGCGACCACCTTGCCGCGCATTGCCGCAACGGCCTGCTCACGGCGCGCTGGGTGAAGGGCCATGTGGACGCGACCGAAGCCAGGTGAACGCAGCTTCCCCGAGGGGCAGTGCAGCGCGTGCTCGCCGCCGTGGAGCTTGCCGCAATGAAGGCGAACCACTGCAGCACCCGCGCTGACGGCCCGCGCGTGCGGCGGCGCTGGGCCCTTATTGGGCGCCGTCGCCGCCGCCGCCGCGCGCCCCGCGAAGGGGGCGACTCGGCCGTCGCGGCCCTGGGTGCGCCTCCGGCAGCCCAGGGCGCGCCCGCCAGTGCCCCCCGGCGCCAGGTGGTGGCGGCCGCAGTGCAGGCGCTGTTCGCCGGCGCAGCGTGGCGGTTGCACGCAGCCTCGCAGGGCCCTGCGTGGGTGGCCTGCGTGGTCTGCAGCTGCTGGGCCCCATGCTGGGCGCACCTCGCCAGCCGTCCTTGCGCGGGCTGGGCCCCGGCGCTGCCCCCGCGGGCGGCCTAGCAGTTCTCGGCGCTTCCCCGGAGCGGTTGCTTTTCCTCCTCCTCCTCCTCTTCCTCCTCCTCCTCTGTGCCCTCCTTTTCCGTTGGGCTTCGCTGGATGGTGAGAAATGTTCCCACGAGTTGCCAGGGCTGGGCATGCAAATAATGGCAGAAATAGTTCGGAGTGCGTGGACGGCGGATTCGTCCGATGAGTTGGAGGAGCAACAGGCATGGTCTTGTTCAGGATCTTACCAGACGGGGACAAGCAGAGAGTAGCAGATTTCGGCATGTTTCTTCCAAGGTGCCGATCCGCATTTGAGGCAGAGGCTATTGCATTAGAGAGCGCATTGAGTCAGCTGCATCGCACAGTTCTCTCGGGGCAGTAGAACCGGCAGCCTAGGGGCGCAAGCCGTTCGAGAAAAAGTTCGGCGTGGGTCGCGATGCAATATCACACAAGAATTGCTAATTAAAGCAGCACAAACGCACCCCGACTCCACAGCAGCCTTGGCAGCTCAATTGTCATATTGCAACGCATAGCGCTAGGACCGCGAGGGCACTCATAATGATGGGCGCCCGGAGCAACCGAATTATTTTTGCGTCTCAATCACGGGCGACCAGCCAACGCAAATTGTCCGAAGCAACGCAACACACATGCACACAGATTGGAACACTACGCTACGCACAACAAATTGAGCCAGCATAACACAATTCAGCGGAACAAAGCCAAGCAACGAAAGCTGAGCAGAGGGCAGCACGTATTCGCAGTTCAGCACCACGCGCAGCAGAAACGCACGGTGAGCACAATTCTCGTCAGGCCCACCAGGAGAAACAGCACACCGAACAACGAAGCAAAGCGACAGCAGGTCAACTGCGAACGCACGCCAAGGACAAATTTCATTTTGCACCGCAGCCCGAGACAGAGCCAGCGCACGGGTGACACGATATCCAAGCAGGCGATGCAGAAACATCGCACAGCAAGCTCACAGCGGAGCAAATTGACGCACCGCAAATCAAAACGAGGAGAGGCGCGGAAAAGCAAGCGGAACGGCAGGACCACAAAGCCTCAGCTACGCTCTGTCACCAGACCTCTGGCGCTAGTTTTTGAACACATGGCTCCTGAACAGTTGTTTCAAAGGTCGGGCGGATTTCACGCCGTGCGTTGTTTTTGTTGTGCCCTCCCAGGCCTGGAACGGCTATCTTGGGTCCCGAACTTCCAAAATGCCGAGCGCTCCGATTGTTCATGGCATTGGAGTTCAGGGTGTTTCTCTTTGAGAGAAATATCGCAGGCCTAGAGGTTGACACCAACACCAATATCGGCGGTGTGCCTCCAACGAAGGAACAATATCCTGGTCTCGGTGATGGTTGTCATATTCTGGCTTCCAAGGTGAGCGAACTATTACCACCAGCGCTGAAATCTGGGATCATTTTCCCCCTGTGGAGTCAGCCCCCTGTGTTGGTGTTGGTGCCCATGTGCAGGCCTCCAAACATGATTGTGCGGGAGGAGGAAGGGGAGGGGGCTCTCGTCCCTCGTCGGGCCTCCTCGGCCCTCGCTTTTTGCTTCGGCCTCTGGAGGCCCTCCTGGGGGAATCTGTGCGCGGCCGCGGCGGGCCCGCCGCGCGCCGCCGACGCGGCAAAGACCGCAACGGCTGCGCCTCCGCGCGGAGGAACAGAGCCGCGCTCGAAAGGCTCGAAAAGGGAGGGGGCTCTGGTCTTCGGGCTCTTCCTCAGATGCCGGTCGGGAGGCCTGCCCGTGGTCGAGCCTCGTCGTGGCCAGGAGAGGCTCCTCCGTTCCCTGCACGGCGTGCCTCGCGTTGGCACGGTGGCCTGTGTGCCCACGCATCCTGGCGGTCACAGGAGACTCCCGGGTGCCCAGGTTTGACGGCCTTTGGCATCCTCGATCTTCGATCTCGAGCCTCATGTCCTAGATCCTGGAGCCTCGGTTCTCGAGCCTCGGTCTTTGATCTCGATCCTCGGTTCGCGATGCTGGGACCTCGATCCTTGACGCTCGATCCTCGATCCTGGAACCTCGATCATCGATCCTCCAGCCTCGAGCCTCGATTCTGGATCCTCGGTCTCGAGCCTCGATCTCGAGCCTCGATCCTTGATCCTGAATCCTCCCTCCTCGAACCTCGATCCCCGATCCTCGATCTCGATCCTCGATCCAAGAACCTCGATCATCGATCCTCGACCCTGAAACCTCGATCCTCGATCTTCGATTTCGATCCTCGAACCTCGAAGCCTCGAAGACCATCGCAACCATCCGATCTTCGAGCCTCGAGCCCCGATCCTTGATCCTGCAACCTCGATCCCTGATCCTCGGTCCTGGAACCTCGATCCCCGATCCCTGACCCTCGATTTCAATTCCAATCCTCGAGCCTCGGCCCTTGATCCTGGATCCTCGAGCCTCGAGCCTCGATCCTCGGTCCCGGATCCCATCTCCTCGAGCCTCGAGCCTCGCGCCCCGAGCGCTCCCCGCAGAGCGGGGCGGCGCAGTGAGCCAGCGGCGGCGGCGACGACGGCCCGCCGCGACGGCTCGTCGTCGCCGTCGCCGTCGCCGTCGTGCCTCGGCGTTGCTGGAGGCGACCTGGCGGCAGCGGGAAGGGCACAGCGGGGCCGACGACGCGAGGTGCGTCGCGGGAGGTGCACAGCGGCACCCGGGAGGCCCCCAGAGCCCCTGAAAGAGCTCCAGAGGCCCTAAAGTTTCGATATGATCATCCTCGAAGCCTCGAAGACCGCCGAAACTACCCGAGCCTCGAGCCCCGATCCTTGATCCTGCAACCTCGATCCTCAGTCCTGGAGCATCGATCCACGATGCTCGACCGCGAACCTGGAGCCCCGATCCTGGCTCCTGGAACCTCGACAGTCGAGGGTTCCAGGTCGAAGGTCGGGGATTGAGGGTCGAGGCTCGACCCTCGATCACCGACCCAGGGCTGGACCTAAACGGTGTCTTGGGTGATTTCGTGGGCCGTTTTCGTTTCGACTTCGTGTTGCGTTCAAGGCGGATTGGCGACAGAAGCGCAGGAAAACGAAAACAAACAACGAAAAAAACACAAAAACACCGTGTCGGGTCGGCCCAGCCCCGACCCTCGATCCGGTCCTCGCCCCCCCGAGCGCCCCGCGGCCAGCTGGAGGTGCAGCGAGTCCGACGTCGGCGGCCACCGGGTGGACCCGGGCGCGGCGAGCCGGGCCGAGCCGTTCCGGGCTGCGGCCCGCCTCGGCGGGTCGCGGCTGTCGACGGAGAGCCAGCTCGGGCCCCTCCACGAGAACCCCCTGCCGCCCGAGCCGACGGACCGCGCCTTTCTTCGGCGCTCTCTCCTCGCCGCTCCCCTTCCCTCCTCCTCCTCCCTCCTCCTCCCTCCTCTCCTCCTCCTCCTCCTCCTCCTCCTCCTCCTCCTCTCCTCCTCCTCCTCCTCCTCCTCCTCCTCCCCCTCCACCTCCTCTTCCTCCAATGACGTTCCAGTCTCCTCCTCCTCCTCCTCCTCCTTTTTCTCTTCCTCCTCCTCCTCCTCCTCCTCCTCGTCCTCCTCTCCTCCGCCTCCTCCTCCTCCTCCTCCTCCTCCCTCCTCCTCCTCCTCCTCCTCCTCCTCCTCCTCCTCCTCCTCCTCCTCTCCTCCCATGATGCTCCAGTCTCCTCCTCCTCCTCCTCCTCCTCCTCCCTCTCCTCCTCGTCCTCCTCGTCCTCCTCCTCCTCCTCCTTCTCCTCCCGAACGGCTGGCGTGCTCTCTCCGGCGTGTCCACCAAAGGCCGCGCGGTCTCGCTCGACGTGTCGCCCGGCAGGAACGGCCAGCAGGTCCGGTGCGAGCTCTATGCCAAGAAGCTTGCACAAATCTTGGGCGAGATGGTGGGTCAGGGCGTGGCCGTCCACGGCCAGCGCACCTGTGGCATCGTCACGGCTGATGCGGCTCCGCTTGCGCGCCTGGTGGTCGGCGAACCCCCAGCGGAAGACATTAAGATCCAGTGGCATCCGCCGCTCGCGCTCGACCAGGACGATGTGTCCAGGTGGTTCCAGGTGGCGACGGCTTCCACCTGGCCAACACGGGGTGGTTTTAGCACCCGTCCATTGTGGGCCCCCTGGCTCTCGCCGTCGGACAGCGATCGCGGTATGAAGGTGGCCCTATGGAGCGCCCGCGGCTTGGTCTGCTCGGATTTTGCACGTCGCCGGCACAAGCTGGACCTCCTCTGGCCGCATCTCCGCGCACGCTCTCTCATCGTGCTCCAGGAAGTTCACGGTTCGAAGGCGGCCTTGCGCCTTCTGGTGCAGGCCCAGTCCGATCCTTACAAGATCTTTCACCATCCTGGCCCGTCGGCGGCGGTTGGCGTCGTGGCCTTCCTGGTCCCCCAGAAGCCGCCAGCTCAGCCGCAGCTGGCCTACCTCTTCTCGCGCGTAGTGCGGGGCTGGCTGCGTCGCTCCTTATCTCGAGCGCCGGTAGCGTGCACCACACGGAGCTGCTCAGTGTCCATGGCCACGGCCTCACGCTGGATGACTTCCAGCGGGTTCAACGGCTGTGGCAGAGCCGCAACAGGTGGGCGGAGGCGGACGTAAGGTATCGAGTGTTCGTCGCGCTCGGGAATTTTAACGTCTCGGACCTGCCCTCGATATCGCACCGCCGCCCGGTGTCGCAGAGGCTCGTGCTGCGACTGGAGCGACGACAGGGAGCTTGGCGCCAGCTCTTCGGCCTCATGATTGAGATCGAGGTGGACTTGCCCACGCGCTACGTCAAGCGTACGCACGTCATGACGAGCATCGATCGCGTCTTCGCGTCGGGCCCCGCCCACGCCATGCTCAATGCTGCAGTGCTGCTGCGCCCGCTCCACGGCGCTGCGGACCTCTCGGACCAGCAGCTCAGTGATCGCGCCTTGCCGGCTTTGCAGATTGTCCCAAGGCGTCCGCAGCAGAACGACGAGATGCCATTGCCTGCATTTCTCGTCGAGCGCGCCAGGTACCCGCACCATTATGATAACATGATCGGGCACAGCACCTTCAGGCTGCCTGGCCGCTGCCCCCGAGGCGGCGCGGCGAGGTGCCAAGATGTGCACGCGGCTGGTGGCGCTCGCGGTGCGGGGCGAGCTCCCGCGGTCCAACCTGGACTCCAAGAGGAAGGAGGAGGGGGAGGGGAGGGGAATGGGGAGTGGAATGGGGAGGAGGAGGAGGAGGAGGAGGAGGAGGAGGAGGAGGAGGAGGCCAAGCTTCAGGCCCTGACGAGCGCGGCCCGCTCGATCTGGCGCCAGGGTGCGGCGCTGGCCTCGCGGCGTACCTCCAGGACGCCGCCGCGCACCAGGCCCGCCGGGCTCCTGCGCGCGAGGTTTCGTCAGGCGCTGTTTTGGGTGCCCTGGCCCGCGCCGAATGAAGCTCTCTGCAATCAAGACCTCGTCCCCGGCGGAGTCGGTGTTCGGGCATGGGGGCAGCGCCGCGGGAACTTGCGACGACCCATCCTTCAGTACCTCGTTTGCCCTTGCCGAGGCGCGCGTCGTCTCCGAGGCTGCGGGCATGACCCGCGAGGTCCAGGATATCTGGGGACCAGCGTTTGCTTCTCAATCCGCCGAGGACTCTGGGGTCGACGCGTTCCTGGACCAGCGCGCGCCGGCGGCGCCGCCGGCGGACCTCCCGATGCTGAGCACGGCGGCGCTGGCCAGAGCGGCGGCCTAGGCTGCCCGCAGCGCGCCTGGCCCCGACAGGATCCCCCACGCGGCGTGGAGGCGCAGCCGCGGTGCCACCGTCATCCTCTTCAACTTGACAACCTGCGCGTTCATGATGGGAGCGGCCCCGCACGAACTTCGAGTGTAGCATCTTCGTGGCGGTTCCGAGGGGCTCGGGGCCTGAGGGCCAGGTTGATTCCTGCGCGTGGGCGGCGGGCAGCCTGACGCCCCTCTCGTCGCAGAACATCGACGCCAAGCTGATCGCCAGCTGCTCGGACAGGACACTGCAGCGGCACGTGGCGACCCCGACCCACGAGGTCCAGAAGGGAAGTTAACGCCTGGCCGCATCTTCGTGGACCGCGTCCCCGCTACGGGTGCTGAGTGCCGACGCGCGGGCCTGCCCCCGTCGGCGCTCGCGCGGTGGCCCACATTCACGTACTTCGACTTCAAGGCGGCGTTGCCGTCGCTCTTCCGGCGATGGATGGAGCGCTGCCTGCCGCGAGACGGGGTACCGCGCGGCTACATCAATGTCGTCGGCGCGCCGTGCATGAACTGCGCTGCGATGACAGCGTGGTGCGGGCCAGCTGAGTCTGGCGCCGATTCCTTCTTGTTCGCGCTGCGCGGCGGCGTGACGCAGGGGTGCCCCCCCAGCGGTGCGCTCTGGTGCGTCTCCATGGGCCCAGTGGCGGGGGCCCTGCCGGTCGCGGTCAGCGACGACGGCATGCTGTCCGCCTGCGCGGATGATTTGGGCTTACTGCTGCTGCGACTGACGAGGAAGGCCCCGGTGGCGGAGGTCTTCTCTCAGGTTCAAGCGTTGGCGAACCTCGCTCTGGCGGCCAGGCAATGCGTCATGGCCCCCCTACGGGCAGCCTGCGACGCAGCGTTGGCGCAGGCGTTGCATGTGAGACTGGCCGAGATGAAGCGGGTGGGATTTCTTCTACATAGACGGCAAGGCCAAGTTCCTGGGCGCCGTCATCGGGCCCGCGGCGCCCTTCGACGCGGTCTGGGAGCTGCCCTGCTTGAAATGGTGGCGCCGGAGCCATGCCATAGGCGCGTCCGGCTCACCATCGAGCCTCTCGGTGCGGGCCTACAACGCAGCCAGCATCAGTTGCTTGTCGTGCGTCGCCCAGTTCTTCCCAATGTTCCTCGCGGCCTGCAGGCGCTAGCATCTGTTGCTCCACGCGGTCTTGCGCATCCCCCCATCGACCTTCCGCAAAACGGACCTACCGGCCTTGGCGAACTGGCTGAAGTCGCCTGCACCGGCGGCGCTTCAGCCTTACGCACCAGCCATCCGATGGCGCGCTGCCTCGAGGACGGCCCCTGGCTGGCAGGCATACTTGCAGCGGCTCGCCATGGCAGCCGAGAAGCACTTCCCGTTGTTGCGAGTGCGGGAGGGCGACTTCTCCCCGCCCTGCTGGATTCGACTCGGAAACTGAAACGTATACATTACCAGTGGCGGGCTGTTTCTTGAATCCCAGGACTTTTCGAGGGTCGGGGACGACGCTGGGGTGGTGTGGTGTATACTTTTTTCCCCGCTATCCCGGGAAACGACGAAAAATGTATACACCAGGATCCCGTATACACCAGAATCCGCGTTCCTGTGCGAATTTCGGCGCAGGGTCGGGAAAAGCGTCGGTGTATAGAGTTCGATCCCCTATCTACCTTGAGCCATCGTCCAGGAGTGCGAGAGCTTGGTGGCTGAGGAGGCCCAGCCAGCCGTTCTGGCGCCGCGGTTCCGGGCGGCCACCGCCGCGACGGAGGCGGAGCAGAGGGCAGCAGCGCTGCTGAGGAGGA